TAGAATTTGCCCAAAAAAAAAAAGAGGCTAAATTCGGCGTCGCATATCGAACAAATTGCAGGACATAAAAGCGCGTTAAGAAGGAAACAAAAGACCTCCTTTTCCTGAGGAAAGCGCATTCAGCTTTCGGCAAACCCAAAATTGAACGAGAACAAAAAAATATATATATGTAATTCCGCGAAGCTTTTCAATTTGTTTATGCGAGCTTTGACTTTGTTTCTCTCGCTGGGCTGCTGCAGTGTGTGATTGATATTCGTACTCGACGTCCATTTTACATAAAGTGAGCTCAGCTCATCTGCCATTTTAGCAAAAGAGAGTAGACCAGCAGCTCGTGTTTTCTGTGCTGTGAACGCCTCCAAGGTATTCTTTAATTCACTTCGTGCCTTTTTATGCGAGTGGGATGAGATTGTTTTTGTTTGATTTTGAGTTTGTTTTGTTCCATCTTCATTGAACTCGTTATGGGTTTTGTGTTAGTTACACTAAAAATTCGTTCTTTTGATCATTTGAATAAGAAAGGAACCATCTTTATGAAATGCCTTTTGATTTTGATTGGTCCCAAATGCTTTTACGGGCCGAGGGGTCGGGCTTTGAATCCCAAGATGAAGAATATATATATATATATATATATATATATATATATTTTGTCCTAGTGGGTTTTCTTTGTTTTGGAGTAGTTTCACTGGTATGAGACTGGGCATTCAACTGTTGCCCTTCCTTTTTTACTTTCCTTTTTATCTGTATGTCATTTATTTGTGGTTCCTTTATGGAACTCGATTTTAATGTGTTTCCAACTTTAAACCTACTAATGTTGTGATTTACTCCCATAATCTGCTGTAGATATTGAATCAATTTTCCCAATTTGATATAGGCATCATCGTTGCATTCTTTTCTGGAACTTTGTTGAATCCTATTTTTCAAAGAGCAATATAACCTTTGGATTACGGTATGGATTCCCTAAATGGAGATTGAAGCCATCTCAATGGCTCGGTAGACCAGGTCTCGAGTCCAGTCGGAAGGAAAACATCGAACACGTATGCTTTTCTGTTTGCTTCGTTATTATGTTTACTTTTTTTGTTCTGTTCTTGCTATTGCACATATATACATGCATACAATCACAATAAACTTTTATTGCTCCTCTGCACTTTGCTTCCCTGATGGAACAGTTAATGCTTACTATTATAATGTATCAGCTTTTGACTTATCTCGTCTGGCCGTAGTTTCACGTCTTAAAGGTCCAGTTTGAATTCGTGGTATCAAGATTTGACCTGTGATTATAAAGGTTTTTGTAATAATGGTTGGTTGATCCATGTGCTGCTTGTTTACAGAGCCTTTTTAGGGATGAAGAATCCAATTAATAAAGATGATGCGGATGTAGAAAATGGGAGGTTAGAAAAGGACCGTGAAAAGGCTCTGAGAAACAAAAGAGGACTTATACTCCACAATCAGGCCTTGTTATCCGGGCTCGCCTATTGTTTGTCCTCATGCGGCATGATACTGGTCAACAAGTATGTCCTCTCCAGTTATGACTTTAATGCTGGAATATCTTTGATGCTTTACCAGGTACCAGGTTACTCTTCGTAGCAAACTCTTCAATTTGGTTCATGATTAATAACTTTCTAGTTTCGAATTCATTTCGCGGGAATTACTATATTACAGTTGGTTTTGAATAATTTATATTATTAAAAACTGATGATAAAATTATTGCGTGCTTGCAGAATTTTGTATCAGTCGTTATTGTTTCCACTTTAAGTCTTCTTGGAATAGTTACGACAGAGCCATTTACATGGAGATTAATCAAGGTGTGGTTACCGGTTAATATTATATTTGTGGGGATGCTGGTCACAAGTATGTTTAGGTACTTGTTTTATAATATCTTGTTACCTCCACGTATATTTGTGGCATCTTGACATCATAAAATGTAGTTTATAGTTTTGCTTCATCCTTGATTGAAAGTTTCCTTAGAATCTTTTCTTTTGTATTGCAGTTTGAAGTACATTAATGTCGCCATGGTTACGGTTCTCAAGAATGTTACCAATGTGATAACGGCTGTTGGCGAAATGTATTTGTTCAATAAGCACCATGACAATAGAGTTTGGGCAGCCCTTTTCTTAATGGTATGTTATGGAGAATTTATTCCTTCAAAGTATTTGCGTTTCTTGTTGATGACCTCTTGGTAATTTTAGTCTTTCCTTCGCATAATTGATTGTCCTTTACATTATAGTATCATCAACTGTCTAACTGAATAGTGTACGTTTGTTGTAATAGTATAGTTGGTTATCTTAACTCCCTGTACACCAACAAGCACATACTCTTTTAGATTTTATAATGATCTTTACTTGAATTTTGAAGTGATATCCTTGTGAAAACTGTCTTTATATATATGACAGTATTTTTTCTACTTAATAAGTTTTGTATTCAATTAAATCTCCTATACAGATCATTTCAGCAATATCAGGAGGGTTCACAGACCTCGCATTTCATGCTGTCGGATATGCATGGCAGTTTATTAATTGTTTTCTGACGGCATCATATTCTGTAAGTAATATGTCGGTTCTTGAATTTTTCAGGTGTTGAAGAATCTTTTATCTTGCCTAACCATGCTAAGCAGTTATCCATGAAGGCAGTGCTATAATTTCTTGTATTTTGTCCTTTTCTCATGCAGTTGACTTTGCGAAGGGTAATGGATACTGCCAAACAAGTCACTAAATCTGGGGAATTGAATGAGTTCTCCATGGTCATGCTAAACAATAGCCTCTCACTGCCTCTGGGAATTTGTCTTATGTTTATGTTCAATGAAGTTGAATACCTTTTGCAAACGTAAGTAAACTGTTCGCTGTTGCACCTGATGCCTTCCTTTTGTAGTAGATAATATTGTTTTGGTTGGTTTACACTAAAGTATGTACATGTGTGTGTGCATTGAAGTATAGCTTTTCATGACAAAAAAATAAATAAAAACTCCTCTGAGTGATGAATTTTGGAGGAATTTTGAAATCTGATAACATTAGAGATAAGGTGAAAAATGTAAATCGCAATGTAGTATAGGGAGAAACTGCTTTTGCTTATTTTATATCAGTTGTTTTCTATTCTTGTTCAAACCTTAAAAAATTTCAACATGTTGATAAATTCCAAGCTTACCTTTTTTTCTGGTTCGATTTTTGTTGGGCAATGGTAGGCCACTGTTGAGATTGCCGACTTTCTGGCTGGTGATGACCTTTAGTGGCCTGTTGGGTCTAGCAATTAGCTTCACTTCAATGTGGTTCCTCCATCAAACTGGAGCTACCACTTACAGGTACCAACTTTTTCTACGTTATGTTTATCTGTTTTCTTATGGCACCATAAAAGCATAGTGTTCAAATATTTGATTTGCCATGAGCATGATATAAAACTTGTTATGAATCGAGATATTTGTTTTCAGAAACTTCTACTTTTAGAGGTATTGTTTTTCTGTTTAGTTGGATTTCCGACATAAATAGTGTTTGCATATGGAAACCAAAATTATAACTGATAATCAAGATGGGGAAGTGTTTTGTGAATGTGAAAATCTAGCTACAAGAAAGTTCAGATATCTATGAACACTATAAATTAAAGGTAAAGTTAAAAGCTGATGAGTGTTTGTAGGCACTGCTTTAGAACTGGGAAGTTAATTAGTGGCTGCTTTAATCCCTCTCTATATATTAATTCAAAACGTGTTGAGCCTAGGTGGCAGATTCTCACGCTTCGGAAGCTGACATGGCGAAAATCTATGCTTCGTGATGTTGTTTTTATATTATTTTTGCTCTGGAGTTAGGTTTGGTATTAGACATAAAAAACCTCACACATATATTCATTAACTCAACACCCATGTTGTACATGGGTATTAGTACTAGTAACTGTTGATTTCAGTTGGGTTCTTAATAAAAATTGTGTTTTTCATACCCTGCAGTCTTGTGGGGTCACTGAATAAGATACCTCTTTCTGTTGCGGGGATCCTTCTTTTCAATGTCCCAACAAGCTTGGAAAATTCAGCAAGTATATTCTTTGGTAAGTTTCTATAATTGTGCTTTACTTGCCAAATGATCTCATGTCTAAAATATTCACATAACCAGCTGTAAACTCTTTTATCTGTGTAGGCTTGTTAGCAGGAGTAATGTTCGCAAGAGCAAAAATGCGATAACCGGACTGCATTTTCATTTACTTTTTTACTTTCTGAACCATTTTAAAGATTACACTCGACATTTCAATTAGTCTATTCTGTCTGTTTTGTAGCAGACAGCAATGTAACATTTACGGAATTAAGTCGATCGATCAACTTCAATTTCCTTTTTTTTCGATATATTATATGTTAATTTGCCCATCAGATACAACACTGACAAACGTATCTGAGAAAAAATAACAAAAATGCGATGACCTGGTAGAATATTGTGTTTTCTTGAGGTATAATATTTCACAAGTATTTGGGGGTTGTTTTGTATGCAATTATGTGAAATTCAAGAGTTAATCTGAAGTACAATGGCTGCAAGTACCCCATTATCAAGATGAAAAAACAAGAGTGAAACAAGAATGTGCAGGCGAAATTTTGAGTATTTGACAATAGATTTTTGTATGTCTAGAAACTGACACATTTTAACAATATGGAGAATCTCAAGCTGATTCGGTGTCTAGCTTATACCGCGGGCCTATAAGTGGCCTCACTAAGATAGATCTGGATTATAATTATCCTTGTTTTAACAACTGCAGCAATTTTAGTATCCTTGCCACCAATAGTTTTTACATCCACAAATAATCTCATAAGTACATCCTTGAATGAAATTAAATTTTAAAAAAAGTCGCGCCAAAGATGCATCTGACCCCCCCTTCTATCGAGTCCATAAACAAAGCTGACAAAGAAATGATGATTGCTGACCTTGCTCGTGAGAGTGATAGAAATGACTTAGGTAGGAGTCTCCTACTAGGAGGTCCATTTTTGCCAGATGCCACTACTTCAAAGTTATCACAAAACATCAATGTTATTCTTTCAGATGAGGCTAGCAACCTCATCCTACTTTGAAGCCCCTAACATTCCATGCGGCAATAATTATTGTTTGGAGGAAGAGGTGACCCCCTTCTTCGGTTGGGTTTCCTTGGCCGACTCTTTCCTCATGATGAGTTTTTCTTCAACTTTTGTTGCTGCTCCTGCACGTGTATCCATTTGGCTGACTTGCTTAAGTGACTTATTATGCTTCCCTACCACATGGATGGGTGCTTCATAGGTCGAGGTCTTCTTATCCTCCTCATAGGCAAGCGGGGTGGATGACGAGCAGGTTTTCTTACCCTCGACTTTTCTAGCTTGGTGAATTTTATTCTTCTCGCACTTAGAAAGAGAGTGTCCAGTATACTTGCAAAAGTTGCAATAAGAAGGGACAAATTCATATTTCACCTTTTGAGTGAACGAGACTCCCTTTCTAGTAGAAACGTCAATGCTAAAGACTCTCTCTTTTGTGAGATCCAACTCCACCAAGATCCGGGCATAGTTGCATCTCTCTTTGGCCTCGGTTAATTTGTCCGTCATGATTGGCTTGCCTAACTGAGAAGCAATTTTCCACAAGGCATTGGCATTCCAACATTCAGGAGGCAAAAGAGGCAAGTTAATCCAAACAGGCATTATTTTGACATCATCTTCACCAAACCGAAACCAGTCGGGAAGCACCTTCAAGAGAAGCCACCGCCCGTATATTAAGTAAGGGCCCTCGTAGAGGACCTTGTCTCTATCCTCTGAGCATGAGAACTTGAAGAGTATCCATCCATTAGCGCTCGGAAGATAATCGTATTTGACATTCCACGAGTTGCATATGTTAAGGAGTGCCTCCTTACCTGGGTGGTGACGGTTGGTGAAGTAGCCAACGAGGCAAAAGCCCCATGACTGGGTGACATCCAAAATGTCTTCTTCATCCAAGATGACTCCGTGTCCCAATGATGGAGTGTAAGAAAGTTTAAGGCCATTAGAGGGCTTGCGATTTTCAGCAAAAATTGAAGCTGAATCCCTCTGAGGCTTTCCGTCAAACACCTTTTGTGCGTCCTTTTCGGTAGCTTCATTACGAGCTCCCTCATCAAGCTCTTTAGTATCATCTAGAGCAATGCCCTTACTTTTTGAAGAAGTGGCAGCACCCAGTTCAATTTCATTCGTACCAAAGGATTCCTCAGCTGTCATCCTCCTAAAGATTGTCTTTTTCTGGTTCTTAACCATTTTGCCCCAATTTTGCTGCAAGCTGGAGTTACTGTAGCGTTAAGCAGCTCAGAATGGAGGGTACAAAGGCTGACTACACGATTTCAGTAGCAACAACGAGAAATTTCGGATAAAGAGGACCACAAATTCGCAGCCCACTGTGCACAAAAATCTACTCAGAGGGCTTGTTTATAAGTTTTTATCAAAATATAGTTCCGAGCTTAATTCTAATTTAAATTTAACTCAATCTCACGCTCTACAATATTATTAGTATAATTAAATAATATAAATCAGTCATCTTTACTCTACAATATTATTAGTATAATTAAATAATATAAATCAGTCATCTTTACATATCACACCAACTTTAATTCATTATTCATTCATTTACATAATTTTAAAAACTTATCATTTCATTCATCTATTTTTTATTTGCATTAAATCTACTCTAATTATTTCATTTTAAATATTACTAGTATTATTCTCGTGTACTACACGGGTGGTTGATAAATAATTAAGTGTACATGCACTTGTTGTGTATCTTGAGGGTCATCGACAGGCGAGCGGACTTAGCACTTCATCTAAGAAGATTGTTCGTGATATGAATGTTGCTCAAGAAAAACAGACAGCAATTTTAGTTGTGATCCAGGAAAAAACCCGGTAGACAATGCCACTCACCGGCATTTGTATAACTATAGGGAGAAATTGCAGAGAGAAATTTTTGAAGGTAGAGACGTGACTACTCAGCTTGTGCATTTGGCTAGGGAAAAAATTATATAGTTTATACAAATGTCGATCGGGATATACAGTCATTGACACGCCCGTTCCTGGTGCATCGTCAATCAGTCAGTCTATTCTGGATATATTACTGGTACGTTGGTATAGATCCGACGTACAAAACGAACAGGTACATTACTTTATAAATAACAAATTAAGTATGAATCTTAATTAGTACGTTTGATTATGTTTTATGATTTTATGTTTTCCCTTGTTACTCTCATTTGCACAGGTACCGGATGCCGTTGGTGGAAATGATGGGAGGACGTCGTGCGACAAGAACTACTTAATTACATATGCAATTATAACGAACGAGAGCGAGTACAGTTATGACTGAGTTCTACAGAAGTTGAGACTTCTAATAGGGTCTCAAGTACATCCTACTGCCATTGTCACTGACGGACTCCAATTCACAGAATTTTTTTTCCGAAGCCGCCCACTTACTTTGCATGTGGCACATCAACAAGGACGTGGAAGATAGAGCCTATCGACTCTTTGGAAAAATAAGTTGTTCGCTAAGAAGTTCACGCATGGTATATAGAAGGCAATTCTCGAAGCGAGTACGGTGAATACAATAATGCCGTAGTTGAGCTGTATGTAAAATACACGCAGGTTCAACATGTGTTACAATATGTGAGACAGACATGGTTAGTCCACAAGGAAAAGTTTATGAAAGCATGGACAAATTATGTATTACATTTTGGTAATACAACTTCGTGTAGGGTAGAGAGTGCCCACGCTGTGTTGAAGACCTGGCTTAACACATCGATCGATGCGCTCGATACGGTGTGGGAGAAGATTAATAAGGATATTGAGTCTCAACATACTGAAGTCAGGTACATTACTTAAGTTACATATAATTATCGCATTAATTATAATTTAGAATAAATTCATTATTAAAATAAAAAAATGACCAAATTTGAAATGATTTGTATTAAATTTTAATTTTATTTGAATTTATTATCCTACATAATTGGATTATGATTGAAATCAAACAAAAAAAAAATCCAATTTTGTTAAAAAGAACGGGTATGAAAAGCGTTGTAGATTGTGTTTGAAATTAAAAATAAAAAAAAAAAACTTGATTTGAAAAGAAAAAAAAAATCTATTATAAAAAAAGATACAAAATCGACGTGAGGATATCCCGTAAGAAATATGAAATTGAGCGTTATTTAAAATAGATTTGATAAACTAATAAAAAAAGGTGGGATAAATTGTTTTTTACATATAAAATTGTTTTCTTTACTGAAGATAGGTATAGATGTTTTGGGAAAAGATGAAGAGTGAATATGAAAAGACATAGTTAGCTAAATGAAGGTTATAATAAAAAAATATATACAAAAAATTCAAAACGTGATTTATTTGGTTAATAGTTGATAAAATCAAAATAACATTTAAAAAAGAAGGGGGTGTCTATATGTACACCCCCTCAAGTGTAAAAAAGGGGTGTACATATAGCACTTTTCTTTGTGTAATTTATTAAAAGGGGGTGTACATATAGCATTGCCCAAAAAGAAATAGTGGTAGTGCGATTTATTAATAAAGTTTGTGCATTACACGACCTACATATTACTCTTTAATGATGTAAGCATGAAACGACAAAACAAATAAATAAATATCAAATAAATATTTTACCTTACTTATTTATATTACTGACCAGTATATTACTACATCGGGTTTGTGTCTTAGTAGATATGCTTACATATGCATCGATGAAATGAGAGTGATTGGACTATAAACTACAAGTACAATTCATCCATATGCATGGTTACAATGGAGAAAACCATGTCATGAAACTGTGGACTTGATAAACTCAATCAACCTCGCCAAATCCATACAAGACGATCCCCCTTCTGAAATAGCCTTCCTCGCCAAAACCGACAATCCACGAGCCTTGTCGACGAATTCATCCCGCCTCACATCCATAACATCACTAACCATCTTCTCCACTTCATTTCTATCACACCTATCTTTCATGTCCAACCCCATCTTCCACACCTCACTCACAAACCTACTATTTGTCGTCTGGTCCGCAAAATAAGGCCAACACACCATCGGCACGCCCACCACAATTCCTTCCAGAGTCGAATTCCACCCACAGTGTGTGAAAAAGGCACCAACTGCCGGATGGGCTAGAATCTCCCTCTGTGGGGCCCACCTGACAATGAGCCCCCTTGATTTGGATTCGGCTCCTTCCTCGAGCTCCCGCATCATCGTCTCAACATTATTATCATTCCCCTCCACAACCGAATCGGGCCTTACCACCCACAAGAACCTTTTGCCACTATTCACCAATCCATGCAAGAACTCTAGCAACTCATCCCTCGTCAACATCGTAATGCTTCCAAAACTCACGTAGATAACCGACTTTGGGGGTTGAGAGTCGAGCCATGCCAAACACCCACGATCCTCCTCCCACAAGCTGCTTGAACGTTCAACCGAACCCAAACGGGCTTCCAGAAGCGCGTGGAGAGGGCCAATGGTATACAAATTGGAGAAGCATTTACGGATTTGATCCAGAACCGGGCCTTCCAAGTCCTCGAATGTATTGAGTATTAATCCTGAGGACTCGGTAGTTCTTTTAGTTTCGAGTGTCATGGTGTTGAGTGCAGGATCATTCACTTCTTCTACTCTGCAAAATGCTGGGAGATCACGCCGGCGGAGAATTCCCTCCATGCCCGGGACGCTTGTCACACTGAAATCCATATCTTTTCGTTTTAAATAAGACAATTTATCTTCATCCTTACCTGAACAAACAATATTAATGCAACACTGCCCATTTAATACTTTAACCATCACCTAATACTGAATTTTATGCTTTAATTAAAAGAATTCTGATGTTTAACTAAAAGAATTTACATAATTTGAAGTAATTTTAGATAATTAATGACACTCTATACAACAAATAAGTTCTATATAATTTCACTCAAATGAAATTAACACGATCACAATTTTAGTACTTGGATACCAAAACGATAGTATAATTTATTGAATGAGATTTGAGAATAGGCTCTACAAATCAAAATTAGTTTTCCACATAACAGTAGAGAATCCCCAATTTATTAGAAAGGTTTACCTCTCAGAGGGAGCTCACCGGCCTCGATTATGGCTTCAACATTGAAATACGACCAAAATGAACAGGCGCTGACGGTCCTGAAAACGATGTGAGGAATCCCCAATTCGTCAGCCACCGGATTAACGAAAGTCAACGCGCCATCAAGTATGAGGCAGCTCACGCGCCGTCTGTCTCCGCCTTGGCTCAGCGCATCAGTCGACTCCATGAGGTGGCGGAACACAGACCCGCCGACCTCCCGGAAGCTCCGGATGGTGTCCAAGATGCGGTCTCCGGCGCGTGGATAGTCGGGCGGGAGGCCGTCGGAGATGGTGGCCACCCGGAAGCCGGGGTAGGCGGAGAAGCGGGATCGGAGGTGGGCGTGGCGGAGAAGGCGGGTGTGGATGTGGTCGAAGAGGAGGAGGGTGATGTGGAGGCCCGAGATGCAGAGGATCTCCGCCAGGTTCAGCATAGAGTTCACGTGGCCCTGCAGTGGTATTGGAAATATCAGAACGTGTGCCGGCAATTTTGCCGCCGGCGACTCGCACTGGCTCATGCCGCCGGCCCAACGACACTCGTACACGCTTCTAATTTCTATTGCAAATGTTAGGTGTAGTAGACTTGGGAGTGGAGGAGAATTCCTTTTTCACTTGTTTGGGTTTTTATTTTATGGCTAAAACTTTAATACGGGCCCGCCGGAATGTATCATGTTTCACGAGGATCAATCCAAAAAAATTGCGATATTATATCTATACTGAATGAAATAAAATAATTGTAAAAATGTCATGGTCAAATCTTGTATTGCATCCCTACATAATCGTGCGTAAATAATTGTCAATATGCTAAGATTACAGTTACCAAATCTAAAAAGATAAAACGTATTCAGGGCCGGCACTGGGGCAGGGCCAACAGGGCGACCGCCCAGGGCCCCCAAATTTTGAGGGGCACCAAAACATTAAGGCCCATTGAGTTATTAAGGTCTCATTTTATGTTTGAGCTTTTCAGTTTGATATTTTGACTAATAATCAATTATTTTAGGCTATGTTAATTAGTCTTTTATGCTCGATTCCTAAAGAATGGGATATGACTTGTATAGATATGAGGTTTGTACATGAATTGTCTAGCCTAACATGCTAAAGACTTGTTTCGAATAGTTATATCTAATTTTTGTAATAAATTTTATAAAAAATTAATCTATTTTGCCAAATTTATTTATCAGTTGACTTACTAAATTATGCGCTGAGTTTGACAAAAATATTAATTATTTAATTTTAATTATGTTATTCTCTTTTTCGTCAAATTTGCCACATTTTCTTCTCCTATAATATATTATTCTATTTTCAATGTCTGATAAAAAGGAATGACAAAATCTTATTGTTAGTTACTTACATACATTTAATTATTAGTTATTACTAGTAAATAATTTATTTTTCTCTCACATTTATTATAATTGTTATATTTTCATTATATCTATGTGTGTGTGTGTGTGTGTGTATATATATATATTGATGGGTCTACTCTCAGATCTAGAGTGAACCGGTGGAAATGAGCTCAGATCTTTCTAAATCGCCTTCGAACCGTTGTTAGATCGCGAGAATACCTGCAAAAACTCAACGCCGGAGGGGTTTCAGGCGTAGAGCCTCCGACGCTCAAGTCAGTGTATGTGAGAGAAATGGGGAAAACTGCTCTCAGAGAGCAACAACTATGGGGAGGAGAGTATAGAATGAATGGAAGTTAGGGTTTGGGGTTACCTCAGCTCCTTTATATAGAAGTTGAAAATTTACCCGAAGTTCCCAAAATGCCCTGGCCGACTTACTGGAAATGTCTAAAATACCCTAGTCGTTCGCATTCCATCCGTCTCCTAGTCAGCATCCAGATTCCTTTTTATTCTAAATAGCCTCCTTATGATATGTTGAAGTATACAGGAGTGGTCGGAGATCTGTGAGCCTCGGGACGTCCTAAGTCGACTCGAGGTATCGACTCGAGTCGACTTAGGTCATCTTCAGACGTAGGCAGATCATGATGCGCCCGTCCGTATTTCTGAAGGGAGTCGACTTCTGTCAGTTGACACCTGGTGGTTAACTGAGAGAGTCATCTGAACCATGTTAGACCAAAAATAATACAGGAAGTTCAAGGAAGAATCGAATTCAGAGAAGTCGACTCGATAACGTCGACTAGGGTGGGTCGACCGTCAAGCTTATCATTTGGTTTGGTTTTTTAGGTCTGAACCGTTATATGACAGCATGACTATATCATCTAGTCCCCCCAAAGATTACTCGAAGCGATTCTGAGCTTAAGAGTAAATTTTTCGATTGGATAGTTAGCCTAAGCCTTTCCGCATACTGCACTTTACTATACATAAGTCTCCTGGGATCGATTTCCTACAAGATTTCTTTCTCAACCGATTTCCTTGTTCCCAATCGTCTCCATTTGCCTCTCAACTCACGAATAGCTCTTTCGCTTTACTTGTGCAAATTCCCTCATTGATTGGGTAAGCTCGGATTTTCTTTCAAATTTCAAAATTTGAAAAAGGTTTAGAGTCTGACAAGATGTTTCTCTCTCCACCGCTTCATATTCTGTGCGTCATCTCCACCGTTGGATCTGTCTTTAATCTGAGGGCTAGGGTTTCTTTATTTCCCCTATAAATACCCCTCTCCTCCACCTTCTCTCACTTTTCACACTCAGACTTCTTGAACTCTCTTTTCTCTTTGGAAAATAAAGCATTGCAAGCTCTCCGGCACTCACTTCATTTTCCGGCGCTATTCTCAGATTTTGCAGCACTCTTTCGATAATCATCATGTGTAAGTTCTCTTTGCTTTTCGATTTATTGCTATGCACCATTTTTTTCTTTTTTGCTTTTCTGGGTGATATGCTTGAGATTCCTAAATTTACCAGATTTTTTGGGATTTCTAGATGATTTTTTGGCGATTTTTCCTTGTTAGTTCTTCAATTGTGGACTTCTCATTTTCCCAAGTGTTTTCGTTCGTCAATCGATTTGATATGAGAAATCCACTCTTCTGCTTTTCTACGGATTAACTAACCATCGACTTGACATTCTTGTGTCAAGTTGAGTCGAATCAGGAATGACATGTTCCCCTCGTTTCATCCCTTCTTTTGTTCCTCTGTTGGGTCGTATCGCGCGTTTTCCTCGCCTCTTCATTGACTTGTTTCTTTTGAAGTTGAACCGCGGTTGTAATTATCCACATCTATTGATTGTCATTCTCTTCTCTTTTTTTTTCTAGATTTCGACTCCG